TTTTTACCTGTTGGGACTTTTTGGGTTAATTTCTTTTGTTTGAAAATTTTACATGTTCCTTTTCAATTTGTAGAAAATTATTCATTGGGTGTTTCTGAAATTGGATTTTTGTGGTTGGTTGTGTAGTAGCGGTTGGGTTGTGTTTATCTTTAGATTGTCGTCTAATGAGCTTCTTCTCCTTCATCGTCTTATTTTTGACCTCCCACGTATAAACGTTGTCGTTTTTGTTATTTCAACACAAACGACAACTCTCACTTTCTCCCTCCCTCTCTCTCTCTCTCTCTCGTATTCCTTCGCAAGAATGCTTCTCTGCTTGGGTAAGCACATGAGCACATATAGCATCATCAAACAAAAATCTTTTTGTATACGTGTGTGTGTGTGTGTATATATATATTTAGCATTGATAGTATTTGTTGTTCGATTTGGTAAAAATATCAAATTTACTATTCGAAGTTTAGCAATTTAAATGTCATTTATTTCTAACTATATGATAATTGTATTAGTTTGAATTTTTTGGGCATCATCCAATTTTCCACCCCTTTTAATCATATTAATTGTTGGAATTAGTATGCTAATTAAAGATTTTTAAAAACAAATTAGTGGGTGGTCCTCTCTGTTACTCGCTCATTTCCCATCTTTAGCAAAAAGATTGACACAAAAGTCCCAGTTTTTACGAGCCAAAAGTGACTCCATAATTTTATTTGGGTTAGAAAAATACATAACAACAATACATATACGCATACAATATTATAATTGATTAGCCTCATTATTCAACAACGCAAAGTTAACCCAACTATGTCTCTCTTTTATGTATCATTTCCTTTCTTGGATCAAAAGTCAACTAAAACACTCGAGAGAAAAGGAAACCAACTGGATATCATAGCTACTTTTAAAAAATTAATTCATCTTAAAACATACCCAAAACCTATATATACGTTTTTATTATTTCTCGAACTATATATATATATATTAGCAGGCTATGATTTGTTGAAAGAAAATGAAAAAGAAAAAAAAAAAAAAAACAGTGATTACCACATGTTTAATTAAAGAAGAAGGAAGATAATGGGTTTGATCAACATCCACAGACGACTTAAATTTACGCACACAGAGATGGTGGGAAATACATAAACTATATTTAATTACCGTATGTGTATGTATAGCCGCATAGTAATATAAATATATATATATATATGAAAATAGAAACTAATCAAATTTATCTGTCAAAAAGAATATGAATTTTAGATTAGATATCAATTTAAGATTTAAAAAAAATTAAATAAAAATAAAAGGCAATATTTTTTGGGGTATTTGCAAACTGGCCTCCATTTATATAATTTTAACAAAAGTCCACACGTTGTTGCTTAGTTGGACTTCATACTTTCAAATATTCCTTTTTTTTTTTTTTTTTTTTTCCATTGTATATATGCATGTAAATACATTGTATATATGTATCTACATGCATGTATACAATGTAAAGATTTGTGCTTAAATATTTCAATGAAGGGAAGGTCGGAAACCACTTGGCCTACCCCTTCTTGGGGGGTCAAGAAGAACCAACTATATATATATATATATATATATATATACACGTAGGCGTACAACTATGTTATATATATATAATTTTGAGCTATGAGGATGGCACGAATTCCACACGCACCTCGAGCCTTTTTTACATTGAACGTTTTCATACTAAAAAAAGTTTATCTTTAAAAAAAAAATTTGAAGCGATGACTTTGGCAAAAAAAGCGGAGGAGCGGGTTCTTGATTTACTTGTTATGGTCGAGGGAGTAAAGTTCCCTCCTGCATAGTCTACGCTTGGCTTTTTATTAATTTCAAAAGGGAAATGATCAAAAGCTCCAATCAAATAAACTTGATTTATGAAGATGAAATCACATGTCTGTGAGACAACACTGTTGTTTCTTTCATCAATCTGAAATCGCTACAAGATAATGAAACAGTCACTCAAGTTTTGGAGTGAGAATTGTGGTTGGTTTCCATGATCCACTCATCACAATCCTTCAAAAGCAAATTGGTAAGAAATAAAATTGTACAAGAAATCACAACATGCAGTCATGATTAAACATCTTTTTTCACCTTTTAAAAGCAGAGAGAATCACTTCAGGAACACAAAAAGGGGGTTGATGTACAAAGTTAAATTTAATGATTCTTTGTTTTCTATAATATATATATATATATAGATACTCTCACTACTGTAATTGCTTCCAAATGCAACTAAAGATTATGTGGCCCATTGTTTCTTTCTTTATTTTATTTTAATAATCTTTAATTATGGGATTCCCTTCCATTAATCGTATATGAGAGAAACAGTAAAAAT